CCGCTCTAAAGCCTCTTCCCGATGTAAAGAAAATGCCCTTTTCCTGATATGCCAGGAAAATTCCCAACACGGCTGTATTTGGGTTAATCCCAGCCGTGGAGTGGGGGCGACACGACTGGGGGACACGGGAGACCCAGCTTTGCCTCTGCCCCGGGCACCGGCAGCTCCCCCGACCCTGTCCCCGCAGAAACTCCGCGGCTGCGGCTTCGACCCCCGCCTCGGTGGGGGAAAAACCACCGGGGGGGGGGGGGAAAAAATTCCTTGAACCCGCGATGCTTTTGAGTGAAGCACTCAAATTCGATCGTTTCCAAAGGAGAAACGAATGATGCTGTAAGAAAAATGATTATGCTGCAACCTCAGCCCTGGGGCAGCACCTTTCCTCGCAGGTAGCCCGCAAAATCTGCTGGAGAAAGGGATTTGCTTCCAGTGCCTTGGGGCCAGGCAGGAGTTTCCCCATTCACCGATTTTAAGTGGGTTAGATGCGAAATGATTTTGTGTATTTTAAGAAGTGGAATTTAAGGGAGATTAAGAGGGTGCTGTGCAAAACGCGCTGGGGCGTTTTACAATTCAGCGAGCGATCCTGAAAACCAGAAAAGCAAAACCATTTCTGGGTTCGTTATTCGAATTTTTAGTGAGTTCTGCGCCACTTTTGGTGGGGCTTTTTTTTACAGATTTCTTCCCCTTTCCTCCCCGGCTTTCGCACACGCACATCCCCTTCCCCAAGAAACCCAGATGCGCAACGGGCGGGTGGATGTACCCGTTCCCGTTATCAGCCTGATTCTCACCCAAAAAAAGCAACTGATTTGCTGCAGAAATCGGTTAACTTCGGGGCTTAACAACCAGTGCTGCGGAAAACCTTCCCACCTTGGGTCGGGCATTTCGAATATCCACTGAGCATCTTTCCCGGGAATGCCAACGGACCACGGTCTTCCCTGCAGAACATTTTTTAAAGCCTCCCAAAAATCGCTTATAATATTCAACTGGGGACCGCTTGTGCAAAAGGGATCGTTTTACGAGGCTCTCTTCTGGTTTTCTAAGGAGGTGGGAAAGACGATTAACCAATTTTTGCTGTCTTTTAACTCTCTGAGCTGGTAACTGCAAAGCAAAGGGGGTCACGAATCTCTAGCACCCCGTTGCGTGGCTCCAGAACCCGCTGGTGCTTTACAGAGCGGCCAGGGTCCACCAAATAAGTGATACGTCATTAGCTGGGGGTTTACTCATTAAAAAAAAATTAATAATAACTATGGAAAAGAGGTTTTGCCGGGAGAGCTTCCAAGGAAAGCCAGCCCCGGGTCTCTGCGAAGAGGGGAGCAGGGAGAGGGGAACTGCTGCTGTTTACAGCGGGGATTTTTCACGTTGTTTGTGAACATGAGTCCTAAACCCGCCCCCCCACCCCCCCGGTTTTGGGTTGGGGAAAGAGGGGGGAAACGGAGTTTAGATGCGGAATTTATTATAGAAACAAGATTTTTAAAAAATCAGGAGGTTGTCCTGAGACACAAGAGGTAGCTGTACGGGCTGACCCCGGTCCGGGCAGGGGGGGTCTCCCCGGGGGGCGCAGGCAAAGCTTGCTGCAGCCCCTCCGACCCGGACCGCAGGCCTTTGCCTTGGCCGATGCAGCCCCCCCGGCTCCCCCTGCCTTGTGATGCCCCTTTACCCGGAGGCTGTAAGGCCGCTTTGCAGCCCAGCCCCTCTCCCTGCAGCAAAGAACCCGGGGAAACATCCCACGGGGGTTTTGGTTGGGTTGGTTTTTTTTTTTTCCTTCCCCAAAGGGATGCTCCGGGGCTTCCTTCAGCAAAAGCCGCTTTTGCCAAGTGGGGTGGACCTGACCGGTCCCGGGACAGCGTGGGAACTCCGTGGGCAGAGACCAGAGGGACAAATCCCCTCTTCTGCAGCAGGGACCTTCTCCCACGTACCTTGCCCCCCGCCCGGGGGCAGGTACCTGAGCAGGTCTGTACCTCCCGGCAGGTCCCCATCACTGCCCGGAGATGATGCCGGCCTTTCCCCGCTCTCCCTGGGAATCCTCACCCTCAGCATCCTTCCCCAGCACCCACTGCTCTTGCCGCATCCCTCCCCACGGGGGACCGCCGCGTCCTGCGTGGATGGCTTTGCCACCGCAGCCCCTTTTCCCCCCGCTCGGCAGGTGATAAGGCAGAAGGGGTGGTGGCTGCTGGGGACCCCGGGGACACTTGCTGGCACCCCCTCTTCCCCCGGGACCGGGTGATGCTCCTGCCTCGGTGATCCCGTGCTGCGAAAGATCCTTTCTCCCCCCACGAGGAGCCCACCCGGACCCGCAGCACCGGGGACCGACCCGGGGGTCTGCACTGTCGTGGACACCGGGGGCGTCCCCCCAAATCCCCCCGTCCTCGGGGTTTTCCTCTTAGGGAACCCGCTGCCCGCACCCCCAGCCCAGGGGACCGGGGTATGCCGGGACTGAGCACCGAGGGGCAGCACAAGGAGGCCGGATCCTTCCCAAAACCCCACCGGGTTTATTTTCCGCATGTCCCTCTATATTGAAGTGTTGAAGAAGACGCCAACTTGGTTCTTGTTCAGCCCGACAATATCCCGTCCCTGCGGTTTTTAGTACCCGTGTAAGAAAATAACCCTTTTCTCCTTGATTTGGGCTATTCCGTTTTAACTTCTCTCCCTTCTCCGTGCAGACGGATTTTATGTGATACCCCAAAACGGGGAACCGGTGCTCCTCGCCTGCCCGACGCTAAAAATTCCCCCCTCCGGTGGGATTTCGATGGGCTTTTGGTTTAAAGTTGGGAAAAAAACAACGAAAAAAAAAGTTCAATAAGCCTGAAAATAAGGTTGAACCCCTCTCCCTCCCCGTTCGGCGGGGATTACCTGGCCCGGCTCGGCCCGGCCGGGCTTTTCCCTCCGGGAGACGTCGGGGGGCTGGAGGCGATTCCCGACCCCGAAAAAGCTCAGCGGATCGAAATGTTTCCCCGGTACCGCTGCTCCCATTTTATCCCTAACCCCCCCGGAGTTTGGGGCTAGAAAAACTGGAAATGGCTACTTGTTTTGTCTGCCAAGGAGCTGCGAGAGGGGGGGCATCCCTTCCCGAGGGTCCCAGTTGGTTTGGGGGCATCCCCAGCATCGGGCCCCCATCACTAAAGGACCCCCCCCCAGGGAAGAAAACGTGTCCGAGAAAGCACGGATGATTCAGCAGTGCCAACCTGGATTTACACCTGGATTTACGCCTGGATTTATAATTCGGGCCGCCTTTAAGGGCGAATTTATTTGCTGGGGGATGGCCGGGAGCATCACTCGCCAGGTCCCAGCTCTGCCCCGGCTCAGCCCCGCTGGTTTCTTTCGGTACCCAGGTCCTCGGGTCTGAATCCCAGCCAGTCAAAAAGCATCCCTCCGGGAAAAATATTCTAGCTATCCCTCCCTGAGCAGGGATATAAATACCCGGAGATATTTTGAAGATCTCTGTGGGAAGCGATTGTGTCTAAGTGGTAGCGCTCGGAGCTTATTATCGCTGGAAGCGATTTGTATTGCAGGGACTGGGTCCTGCCAGAAAACTCCTAAAAAATCCTGCGCTGAAGACGGCTGTAAATTCCTGTGCTGCAATATTTCATCGAAGGACGTCATGGAAAATGTGGGCTTGGGGGGGGGGG